GGGGGGGGAGGGGGAGAGGGGGGGAACAATGCTGACTATCAAGAAATACCACTAAAAGCATATTAAAATTAATTTTTCACTGTACAAAGGTTGACCTGAATACCTGAAATACACTATTGAAACAATTCCATAGGACATCAGAGTGTGTAACAGGCAAGGTTTGGAGCCAAGCCTTCAAGATAGGCCTCCAATCTAGCACTGAAGAACTCATGAAGACCATCCCATTACGAGACACTGTCGCAGGAGAAGCATTGTCAATGTTGTGAGGTTCAAAAACAATCTTGCAGTTTGAGGACATTGGAATCCGATCTCCATTAGCTAGAGTAAGGGTTTTATTATCATCCAGAACAGAGTTCAGATTTTCAATCCATATTGCATCCACTGGGCCATCCAAAACTATCCATATATGTTCTCCCTACAACATATTTATAAACATAAATATACAAGCTTAAGTACAATGATTAAAAATATAATTTGGCTGCACACCTAAAAGAAGGCATTACTATATATAAGCATTGACTCGTAAATTGTCTAGTTGGTGCTAACTGCTTCCGGTTGTTCAAAACATTTCTATTTTTTCATAATTTATCCAGTTACTTAAAGTCTTATACCAGGATTCAAATGGTCTCAATGAGCGTTTAGACTAAGGTGTTGCCCCACCTGACTTTTGAGAATAACTGCCCCTCACCCCTGAAGGAGAGTCAAAATGAATTGGTTATTATCATTAAAATGTATCTAATATCCTGAAAGAGTCATTGGCAGGACTTCAGACAGAGTGATGCAGGTATACAAGCCTAGGTCCTCTGAACCGAACATCCAAAAGGTAATTAAAGAGCCCAGAAACATTTGGAAGTAGTCAATGGGAAACACTAAAGCCAAGAGGCATCTGAACTCTTGCCTTTGTCAAGCTGTAAGTGGCATTTATATAGCCATAGAACAGCAAGTTTTGTCACCTACACAATTTTTGGAATCTATGTGCACTTGAGGCCCTGCACACATACCTGTTAGAACTAAGATGAAAGAGGAGGGAGATGCCTTCCTACCTTTTAGCTCAGTGGTTGCCTAGGAGGTGGGAATCCAAGCTTCTAGACTACTCCCAATACCCACAGAGGTTGAACGTATAGCTCTTGCTTTCAGTAAAGTGCTCTACCCACCAACCCACAAGTTCACTAGTGCCCAGAGGCTCTCCAGTCTCCTCTGAAAGCTAGCCTACTGGGTGCACGGGCTGGGAGCGATCCGGGCCCTTTTTCGCGCCGCGCGGGCTGTGGCCAGCAGCCCGGGCACGCTGGGTCGGAGAAAGCAGGCGACACGCTAGATTTAGGCACGGACTCGTAATGGTTGATTCAAGATTGTTTACTTACACCGAAGATGGTTGCGGTGTAGGCTGGACAGTTTCCCAGGCAAGGCTCCGCTTAAATTCCCAGTTTGAGGACTCAGACAGTATTCGGATCACTCCCACAGAGTTGTCGAGGCTCTGTGGATCCTTTTGCGCGCAGGGAAGAGGGATACGTCGAGGATTGCGCTCGGTGACGGGGAGAGGCTAGAGGCTGATCAGACCCCTGTTGCCTTCTTGAAATACGCTGGGTCCAATAGGCTCCGCAGCGCTTAGACATCTTCACAAGACGTGAAGTTCTCTTTCTCCTGATAGTCGTGGAGTCCTCCAACTTGGGCGGAAACCACTCAAGCCTCTTATACGGCTAGCAAGCCAATCGCTAGCCGCCACGTGTGAATAATTTAACGCAAGCCAATAATGGGGCTCAAATTTTAATACAAATGGCAGGAACTCCTTGCAACGTGCATTTCTATGCTGCAAAGAAGAAATGCACCCTGCAAAGAAAGCTTCAAACGGCGGGAAAATAATTCAGTGGTGCCAAAGCACACACAAAACAAAAATCACACCCTTGGGTTGTGACACTGGGCAGGCAGAATAGAAAGATAAATTGAGCCAGGAGGAAAGGTGGCTCAGCAAGATCAAACTGTGCTCTGAGGGGGAGGTGCACCTAGGTTCTAACTTCCACTCCTAATGGAGAAGAAACTTCCCCAATGCTATTTTACAAGTTTATCCAACAAACACTTAATGCAAAGTGATATGGGCTTAAACCCTTGGCCCCCTGCTCTCTAATTCCCTGCTCTCCTGTCCCCTATCCATTAGACCAGGGGTTGCCAACTGGGTGTACCCCTGGGGGTACTTTGAAAGGTGAGGGCGGGCGGGGACGAAACACTGCCACCCCATGCTACTGTCTCACAGGAGCAGGACTGGGGCATGACGAGAGCAGGGCTGCACTGCCACCGCTCACCACACTCCTGCTCCACATCTGGCCACTCGCCACCCCCCACTGCCCCCACTCAGTGTCCGGCCCCTCGCCACCCCCCTCTGCTCTGTGTCTGGCCACTTGCCACCTCCCCCCCTGGGGGTACACTTACTAAAAAGGGGGCTGCTTGGATGATTTAATTAGGGACAATCCTGCCTTGCATGGGGAGCCGGACTAGATGACTTTGTGAGGCCCTTTCTAGGCTCACTTTCCTAAAGCTTGATGGTTAGGGTGTTGTGCTGGAAAAGGGAATATTCAGGTTCAAATCCCTTCAGTGACATGGGTAAATCTAGAACGCAACTTTCTAATATCCATGGGAAAAAAAATCTATCCACTAAACTTCTAAGGCAAGAGTTGGGTGGTACCACCAACAATTTTCAACTAAATTCAGAGCTGTCAGTGTGAATGAGTCATAGCTTTTGACCAAGTAATAGCTACAGTCTCTCCAGAGTTATTCATGGAGCTTCTGCACTTCTACTGTGGGATTTTTGGAGTGGGAGGGGAGTGAGGTGTGCAAGTGGCTCTTCCATTTCATTTCTTAGCATGAATATGGACTTAAGCAAAGGCACCTCAGGAACCTTGATTTCCAGAAAAGAGGTATATGCTGAATTTTCGCACATAATAAGTTCTGTAAGTGCTTATGCAAAACCATTTTGAATAGCTCAAGTGGCCAAAGTGCACCTTTATGTGCTCAGTGAGACAGTTTGAATCTGGCACTTACTTCTTTTCAGTTGTTATAAGCATAACGACAATGATTTCTCTTGCAAGAACAACATGACCCAGCTCTGCTTCCATGGAAGTAAAAGAAAAAATGAACCACAACAGCCCCACTGTCCCATATTTCTCAATCAAGATATAAATAACAAATGTATACTGTATAATCTCTGAGTTTAAGTACAGTTTAACAGAGGGTAAGACTAAATTGCTCTTATGTACAAATTTACCTGAGGCCCCATTTACATATTACACTTAAGGCATGATTAACGAGTTAATCACATCTTAAATCAGGGATGGGCAAAATATGGCCTGCAGGCTAGATCTGACCCACCAGGCAATTTCATCCCACCCACAGGTGCCCACCACTTAATTGTAGCCTGCCCAGCCCATGCACCTCACTCCCACTTTTGTGTGTGGAAGGGCCCGGCACAGCCAGTGCACAGCTTCCAGGCGGGGGCTGCTGCTGCCACCACTGCAGCCACCGGGGGACCTGCTTGGCTTTCCTGGCATCCAGCAGCCCCTCCTCATCCTGCAGCACTTGCTCCAGACAGCGGGTAGGGACAGTGCAGGGGAGCGGGGGGAGACAGTCCAGGCAGTGGGGGGGTGCAGGGGGAGCTGCAGCTGGCTGGGGAGTGTGGGGCTCAGGCCTGCGGGAGCATGGACCCTGTGCCCAGGGGGCATTGGGAGCATGGAGGTTGGGTGGGCAGGGTATGATGGAGGCCGGGGGAATGTGAGTACCTCCCAACAAACTCCCCCCATAGCACACAGTGCTGGCAGCAGCAGCGGGTGGCAGGCCCTCGTGGCCCATGCAGGTGCTGCCACTAGGTGATCCATGGCTCTGGGCAGAACAGCATGCGGCAGCAAGGATCACAGCCAGACCAGCCTGCCTTTATTGCGTGGGGCTCCCAACAGTGCATGTGCAGCTCCTGGAACTCGCATGTCACCAGGGAAAGCCCCGCACAGTGGAGCTGGCTGCCTTCCCTGCTCCCTGCCGCCACATGCAGGTCCTGGAATTCTGCCAGGAAACAGGGGGCGGAGCAGGGTGGGCACCCTGCCCTGACAACCCACCCCACATATACACACACCCTGTAATATACCCTACACCCCCACACACACAGAGTCATACCCCCTCACAAACTCTCCACTCAGCCCCCCACACCCACACACACCCCACCAGACACACACACCCATGTGCCAACCACACCCCACACACAATATACAAGACTAAGGAGTAATTTTTGAGCTATTATGCAAGCACCTCTATATACACTATGCAAACACAAATCACAACAAAAATATGTTTTCTAATAAAATTAAAATGTGTTATAGTAGGTGTTTGAATTTAGTGTATGATGGTTTTTTTCTGATTGCAAGATGGCCACCCCCCTCCCCAAAGGAGTACTTCTGGGGACAAGAGGAGGGACTTCTGGTGGCAAAGATCAGGGGTTATGGGGTGGGACTTCTGTTCCCAAGATGGCAACCAGGGGGTAGGGCACCTGTCAAGGGGCAGGGCTACCCTTGCAGTCCAACAACTCACCAAAACTCATTAAGCGGTCCTCCAGCTGAAATAATTGCCCACCCCCGTCTTAAGTGGTCACCCGGCTACATGTTCATTCAATTAATGGTGTGATTAAAAAAAGAAACTACAAAATTATTCCACAAAATATGTGTAATAACGTTGGAGCTGCTTTCTATCATGCCATTATTTGAACATGTGGCCAGGGGCCCCTGCGGCTGGGAACCCCATCAGCTTATCAGACCTCTTAGACAGGGGGTCTCATATGCATTTCCAAGCCTGGGAGCTCCCAGCTGATGCTGGCTCCCAGCTACAGGAGTAGATGCCCACCCTGAATTCCTCACAGCTGGCAGCTCCATCAGCTGACAGGTCTCCCAGCAGTAGGGGTGTCCCATGCATCCCCGGGGCTGGGAGACTGTAGATGATGTGGTATCCCATCTGTGGGTTTGCCCTATGCACCCCCACAGCTGGGAGACAATAGCTGTTGTGGTGTCCCAGCAATGGATGGCTCCAGGCACCCTTGCTGCTGCATGAAAGCAGCTGACGCAGCATCCCATTCACTCACAGCCACGGGAGTGCCTGGAGCAACCCCATGGCTGGGAACCTCATCAGCTCATGGGCCTCTAAGCTGTGGAACCTTGCTGCTTGTCAGCTGCTTGTGATCCCAGGCTCTCCCTACACCGGAAATAAAGTGTGATGGGATCCCACATGCGTGACATGGAAGGAGGCCCAATTGTGTGGATTGTGCATCTCATTGTGCCTTTACCTACATGTCTAGAGTGGTCCTGAGGTGGCAGTGGCAGAAATTTCAAATATTTCTACTATAAACTATCAACATAAATTTCTACTATAAAGTATCAAAGTAGGAAAAAAGTGGATGAGGCATTCTTCAAGTAAGTAACAGGAATATCCAAAATGTTTATGGTAGTATGAATGGGGAGTTATAACTTTTCTGATATCATGGAATCATAGGGTTGGAAGGTACCTCAAATATCATCTGATCCAAACCCTGCCAGAATGCTATACTTAAACCATTCATGATCAATGCTTATCCAGCCTCTACTTTAGAACTTCTAATGAAGGAGATTCTGTAACTCCCCTGGACAGTCTATTCACTGTTCTAACAATAAGGACATTTTTCTTGGTATCTAATCGAAATTTCCTTTAATGCAATTTGAAGCCATTGTTTCAGATCCTGCCCTCTGTAGCAAAGAAGAAAAGCTGTTCTCTTTGTTCTTTATGGCAGATATTATAAGACTGCTGTCATGTCCCTCCTTACTTGCCTTTTCTGCAATCTAAGCATGTCTAGCTCTCTCAGCCCTTCCTCATATAGCTTGCTTTCCAACCCCTTTATTATTTTGTCATCAACTTCTATCTTACCTCATTCTCATGTTGATGACCAAAATTGCATTTGCTTTGCTTAGAACTATATTACATTGCTGATTCGTGTTGAGTCTGTGATCCACCAAAACATCTAGATCCTTCTCAGCAATCTTATTACCCATTCTGCATTTGTGCTTTTGATTATTCTTCCCTTTCCTTTGCATTCGTCTGAGTTGAACTTCATCCTCTTACCTATAGCCCAAATTTCCAATCTATCAAGATCCTTCTGAGTTCTAATCCTATCCTCCAAAGTGTCTGTAGTCCTTCCCAGTTCTATGTCACTTGCAAACTTGGTATGTAAGCTCTCTATTCTGGCTTCCAAATCATTAAACACATTCAATAGCACTAGACCCAGGACAGATCTATGGGGATCTCGTTGAAAACCTCCTGCCAATACAACATCGATCCATTTATAATTACCTTTTACAAGTGGTTATTGAGCTAATTATGAATTGATCTTGTAACAATTTTAACTACCCCAAATTTTCCAATTTCCTTATGAGATCATATGGGACTTTATCAAAAGCCTTAGTAACGTCTATGTATATTATCCACTATATTCCTTTCATCCACCGAACTAGTTATCCTGTGAAGGAAGGTAATCAAGTTTGTCTGGCATGATTTATTAACAGATTCATGCCAGTTGCCTGTGATCAGCCTTTCCTTCTCCAGATGTTTACAAATTGACTTTTTTATAATATGCTCCAGTAACTTCCCAGTACTGATGGCAGACTAGTTTATAATTCCTATTATGTCAGTTTTTTCCAGCCCTCTGGAATCAATCATTTCTCCCATAACTTTGGAAATATTATTGTCAGGGGCTCTAAGAACCCTCCTACCAGTTCCTTCAGTACCCTGGGATGAAGATCATCAGCCACACTGACTAATCAAAATCCCCTTGACATTATCTTTCAGTATCATGACCCTCAGGCTTTCCCTTTCCTTGTCAATATAATCGTTAGTAGTTCTCTGGTTGTTCCTTATTTTTTTTTGGTAAAGACTGAGGTAAAGTGGCTATTGTGCAGCTCTGCCTTCTTTGCATCTTCTGTTAATAGCTTACCCTGGCTCCTTAGCAGTGAACCCACAGCTGCCTTCAGTCTTTCTTCTCTGATCAGCATGTTTATAGAACCCCTCCTTATTGTTCTTAACTTCTCTAGCTCATTTTTACTTTTGCTTCCCTAATTTTTTCCCTACAGGTTCTTGTTATTTCTTGGTGGTCTACCTGTTCTTCCATTGCCTGTATGTTTTGCTTTTGATTTTGAGGCATCTGTAGCTTAGTTGTTGGAGTATTATCCTGTGAAGTGGATACACTGGACTTCTATCACTCCTTTTGTGTCTCCATCATGTTGAAATAGCTTCCTGTTGAGCTTCCAATACTATGCTCTTTAGGAACTGCCTGCGTTCCTAGATCCCTTTATGCTTCAGTCTGTTCTGCCATGGAACCATGCAACCATGTTGAAGTCCATGCTTTTGAAATCCAGTGGCTTAATCCTGCTGACCTCATGCTTTCCTTGTTTTAGAATCATGAATTATATCATATCATGATCACTTCCTCCCAAGTTTCCATCACCTTCTCATTGTCAACAAATTCTTTCTGTTGGTCATAGCAAGATCCAAGATTGGTGATCCCTTACCCACATCCTTAAATTTCTGAAGGTGACAGCTTTCTGTTCTAAAAAGTAGAGGATACTATCAGGGGGTTATCTATCTTGGATCTTGTTCTACACAACCAGGAAGAACTGGTTGCAAAGATGAGAGTGATAGGAACTTGAGAGGAAGTATGATGGAATTCATAATTCTGAGAAAGAGGATATGAAAAAAGCAAAACAAGGTCATTTGGGGGTCAAAAGAGCAGATTTCAATCAATTAAGAAGACAGTAGTTAATAGTAGATGAAGTTCCATTTAGCAGACCAGCTAAATGATATATGTTCCTAAATGATAAATGGTCCAGGAGGGTTGTCAGTTTCTAAAAGACATAATACTGGAGATTCAACAAGAAGCAATTCCAACATTGTAGAAAGATAAAAACTATCACATGAGACCAAGACTGCTACACAAGCAGTTTCTTAGCTCCTTAATTATCTCAGAATCACAAGAGAGAGTCAGTGGAAGAAGGCAAGTCACTGAGGAAGCATACCAAGAAACACAAAGAATGTGGAGGGACAAACTCAAGAAACCAAAGGCAGAAAAATGAGATACAACTGGCAAGGTATGTTAAGGATAAGATGCGGGTTCTATAAAAATGTCAGACAGTAAAGGAAGACTAAAGGAACTGCGTCCAGAGCTCAGTAGGAAAGCCAATTTATTAATGGAACACCCAAAGGCAAATGTATTCAATCCAAGTATAGGGTTGTACTAGATGGGCTTGAGGTCTCTTCCAACCCTATGATTCTTTTAGCATGTTTTATTATTCTGTGGAAATAAGACTTTTTGTCTTTATACTAAAGCCCTGAGAGTCACTGCATTTGTGGTTGACAAGAAGGGGATTATTAAAAGTTTAAAGAAAGTAGAAGAGAAAAAAAACACCTTTAGATTATACATATCCTTGGTTACTGCTCTCTGCTAGGTACGTAAGTATATTTGCCATAGCTCGTATACTAACAACTAAGAATATGTTCAACTTGACTTTATAATCACTTATAACAGACCCTTCATGTAAATAATAATAGAAGCGTCTGGTTTCATGGTTATGATCCCTTAAAGGGAACAGAATTAAATATTACTATTTGGCCAGCATAACACAGTATCCAGTTACCTTCTTTGCTTTTAATGTTTTTCTCCATAAAGTAGAAAAAATACCGTCTGTCCAATCATTTGTAGCAACATCAAGGGTACCAAACATCTGGGAAGCTGTGATTGCCTTTGGGTTCATTCTCATCTCTTTATGGGGAGCACCACAATCTGTCATAGCTTTCATCAAGATATTAATGCATTTTGTCTTGCCGGCACCAGTTGGACCTAGAGTCATCGTACCTTAAAACAGCACAGACTTATTTAAAATAAAATGTCAAAATGTCATACTGAAATGTAATAATACATTGAGTCAATGTTCCTTTTTTAATCAAAACTAAATGTAAACAGAGATGTTTCTCACTCTATTTACTTGATATTGACTGAATTAAATGAAATTTAAAAAATGTTTCTAAAAGGTGTTATAAATGCCTGCTTTATCCTGCAGGCCAACATATATCTGAATCCTCCTTCAGGCAGTGTTGTTCCTTTTTCTAATTGGAAAACAAAGCTGCCATATGATGTCCATATGATGTCCATATGTGGTGACATCAGCTTGACTGGTGGTAAACAAAAACAATCATTTCTAAATATCTTTCAACAAAAAAGAGTTGCTTCCAGTGATGTATGAAAAAGCACTTTCTGGAGTAAAAATAACAAAAACATATGTATGCATAACCCATGAAGCCATTACATAATCTTTTTGGAGAAAGACATCTGCAACCAAACTTGTTAACGTATTTACACAAATTCAAGATGAGGGTTTTTTCCCCCATTCAACATGAGAGGGAAAGGCTTTCATCTTGGATTCAAGAACAAGGTGGGGGGGTAGGGGAGGCAGGTCAATGCTACTGCTCCAACTCCAGCCCCAAGCCCAGGTTGGGGCTGGAGTCAGAGCTGCAGCAGCTGCTTGACCCTCCCCACCTGCCTCAGCACACCCTTGCAGCAGAACTCATGCTGCTGGAACTGCTGCTATATGGCCAGACCAGGACTAGAGCTGGGCCTGGAGCTATCATATGCTCCATACCCTGGCTGGAATAGGGCTGGAGTCATGACTAATGATAAGTGGTGGAGGTGGGGGCAGAGGCTGTAAGAGGCACACAAGGGTCCCCCTCTCCCCGTCTGCAGATATATTGGGACTGGGTGCGTTTCTGGTAGTAGCACAGGGCATGAGCTGCAAAGGTGGAGGGGAGATTTTATGGGAGTTTTTCCATGCCTCATTTCCAGAGGGATTACCCTGGCACATGTATCACTGCTGCACAGGGCATGTGTCCACAAGTGGGGAACTCCTGTTTGCAGACTTGCACTCCGTGCTGAGGTGACGCCCCAACTTTCCCTGATTATTCAGACGTACCCCTGGAGAACCCTGGGACACATCTAGGGAAGCAGGGAAAGCAAGCATGTGCTCCTAAGGCTTGAGGGGCCCAATTCTGCTTGCGAATTCCCAGGGTGTGAGAACTGGATCCCTTGAGCCCATAGAGGTTCTGCTCTGGAAGGCTGGAGAGCACAGGCAACTTTGGGCTGCCTATGCTCTTCTACCAAAACAAACAGATGCGGGCCACAATAAAGTAGCCCAATTTATTACTACCTTCTGTCGCAGCCATACATTTGTGACACAACAGAAGTTATATGAATGTCTGTTTGCTTTCACTTACTGTCACCACAAAATTTTTTATAGGGGCATGAAGAAGTGATCTGTTTCCAGCTACTGTATGTAGTTCTAGGCTCTATAATTTAAGAAGGATGCACAAAGAGTGGAGAGGATCCGGGGTGGGGAATGAAAATGAGAAAGGCACAAGAAAAAAGGTTGAGAGAATTTGGTATATTTATTTTGGAGAACAGAAGACTAATGGTGTATAACAGTTTCCAATTTTTTAAGGCTGCCATAAACAAAGGGGAAGACAGCTGTTGTATCTGCCTTAGAGGGCAGAACATGAAGCAGTGAGTTTAAATTGCAGCACAGCAGATTTAGATTAAATCTCAGAAAACCTTCCTACCTGTAAGAACACTAGGCTGGTGGAATAAGCTATCCAGGGGACTTACTGACTCTCCTTCATTAGGACCCTCTCTACATGGTATATTTATACCACGATTAACATGCTAATCGCATCATAAATGGGCAGGGCATCACACATGCACCCAATTTAAGGCACTATAAAATGGGAAATGAGTCATAAAAATGTTCCACATACAATATAGGATATTTTATGGCCCATTTTTATGGTGCCCTAAATTTAGTGTGTGGCCAGGGGCTGACAATCAGTTCGCTGTTGGTCCTGGGGCCCAGATGGCAATGGGATCTAGATGGGCCCTGGGACTGACAACCAGCTGATTGCCAACCCTAGCTGGATACTACGATGGGAGAGGGAAGATGGGGGAGATCCAAACAGATTTCCCAGCTGGTAACTTTAAACCTCTGCTCCACTGCAGTGGGGCGGGGAGGTGGAGGTACAGACAGAGCTTCTCAGCATGGGATTTAAAGTCCCTAGTATGGGAAACTGAAGGCCTGCACACGTGGCCAAGAGCTTCTGTTCCCCCATGCATAGCAACCCAACCAGTGCTGCCCAGCATAGGGTTTTGACAATCAGCTGATTGTAGGTCCTGGCTTGGCACGAGCAACTTTGGGTCTCAAACCCAGGGCTGTCTAAGACAAGGCCAGAAATCAACTGATTGTCTGCCCTGGCAACCCCGGGCGAACTGGACCTGGAACAATCTGAGATTGGGGCTGACAATCAGCTGATTGTTAGCCATAGCCCCCAGACAGCCTTGAGTCTTTAACAGGACTCAGAACTGTCTGGCCGGGCTGACAATCAACTGATTTTCAGTCTGAATGCAGGTACCCAGCTTTCACCTTGCTAGTGCAGGGGGAGCCTAGGAAAGTAGTAATGGTGGTACTGGGATCTGATCCCTGGTCCCAACATCATGCCTAGACAGCTCCAAGCAAAGTCATGCAGGCTGCTGAAACAGAAACAGGATGACAAACACTGAGGAAGATGAAAACAGCTGAAGATACCACTGGAGGTGATCAGAAAAGAAGAGCCAACAACATGAAAGTGACTGAGAAAGTGACTGACATGGTGTTAGGTTGAAGCACCCATTTCTCCCAATGGGAGACAAACCCTGCCCCTTCAACAAAAATTCACAGAAAACTCTTCAAGTGGGTATGTGGGGGATATGTGGGGAGCCAGAGGAAAAGCAAGGGCAACACTAGACCCCTACTAAACCAGATGGGACAGCTGAAAACCGACCCCCAGGAAAAAGCCAACTTGCTAAATGGGTACTTTGCATTGTTTTTTCACCAGTCCCAAGGGACGTCCCTGCCCATTACGGGATGGGAAGGCCTGAGTGAGGGAGATTCCTTACCCTCCATCAATGCTGACCTTGTGAAGGAACACCTTGAGAGGCTGGATACCTTCAAGTCAGCTGGCCCTGACAGTTTACACCCAAGGGTACTCAAGGACCTGGCAAGCATCATAGCCCAGCCGCTGACATGGATCTTCATGAACTCCTGGAGCTCTGGTGAACTGCCCAAAGACTGGAAGAAGGCCAATGTGATGCCTATCTTCAAGAATGGGAGGAAAGTGGATCCTGAAAACTGCAGGCCCATCAGCCTGACCTCTATCCCAGAAAAGGTCTTAGAAAAGATTATCAAAGAGACCATTCTTAACAGATTGGCCGATGGCAACATCCAGAGAGATACCCAGCATGGGTCTGTTGCAGGTAGGGCTTGCTTGACAAATCTTATTTCCTTTTATGAACAGATGACCCAGCACCTGGACAAGGGAGAGGAGATTGATGTCGTATATCTTGACTTTAAAAAAGCCTTCGATCTGGTATTCCATGATCAAAACTGTCCAACTGCGGCCTCGGCTTCACCACAATCCACTGACTGGGGAATTGGCTCCGTGGTCGGACCCAGAGGGTGGTGGTTGACGGAAGTCAATAGTCATGGTGCGCTGTGAGCAGTGGGGTCTCTCAAGGCTCTGTCCTTGGGCCTATACTATTCAACATCTTCATCAATGATGTAGACACTGGCATCAGAAGTGGACTGGCCAAGTTCACTGACAACACCAAACTTTGGGGTAAAGCATCCACACCTGAGGATAGGAGGGTGATCCAGGCTGACCTTGACAGGCTCAGGAAATGGGTGGATGAGAACCTGATGGTGTTTAACACCAAAAAATACAAGGTACTCCCCCTTGGGAAGAAAAACCCGCAGCATATTTACAGGCTTGGCAGTGCTATGCTGGCTAGCACTACAGATGAAAGGGACTTGGGGTCATGATTGACAACAAGATGAACCTGAGCCATCAATGTGATGCTGTAGCTAGTAAAACGAGCAAAATGCTGGCTTGCATCCATAGATGCTTCTCAAGCAAATCCCAGGAAGTCATTCTCCCATTGTACTTGGCCTTGGTGAGGCTGCAGCTGGAGTACTGCGTCCAGTTTTGGGCTCCACAATTAAAAAAGGATGTGGAGAAGCTTGAGAGAGTCCAGAGGAGAGCCACATGCTTGATCAGAGATCAGGAAAACAGACCTTATGATGACAGGCTGAGAGCTATGGGACTCTTTAGCCTGGAAAAGCACAGGCTCAGGGGTGATCTGGTGGCTGCCTATAAGTTTATAAGGGGCGCTCACCAGGATCTGGGGGAACATCTGTTCACCAGACAGCCCCAAGGGATGACAAGGTCAAACAGTCACAAACTCCTCCATGACTGTTTCAGGCTGGACATAAGGAAGACCTTCTTTACTGTCTGAGCCCCCAAGGTTTGGAATAGACTGCTGCCGGAGGTGGTTCAAGCACCTAATTTGAACGCCTTCAAGAGAAATTTGGATGTTTATCTTGCTGGGATCCTGTGACCCCTGCTGACTTCCTGCCCCTGGGGCAGGGGGCCGGACTCGAAGATCTTCCGAGGTCCCTTCCAGCCCTAATGTCTATGAAATCTATGAAGCGGAATCTTGAATGGATCCTGGTCTGAATAATGGTAGTGCCTCATAAGCATGTGATACAGACTACTGACCTAGCAAGTCTGGATATAAACCATTGTTGGACAAAACATTATTCACTGTTTGGTAGAACCTGATATAATATTAAAATATCACACTTAACAACATGTGAAAATAAATACTTCATTTACTTATTATAAATGTATAAAAACCTTCATAAATCTCAACTGTTCTAGTTGTGTTCCCTTTATCTTTTCTCCTCTTCAGCCTAAATAATCCTAAGAGTTTTTTGTTCTCTCACCACCATTTGTAAATCTGACTGTACCAGAATTTTGGTTACCCTTTGGAGAACAGTGCTGATGTCTTTTTTCAGTTGAAGTGGTCAAACTGATCACAGAAGTCATAATGACATTTGCAATTACAGCAGGCACCTTTTAGTTAAGGATTCAAAAAGGTATCATTTGGGACTTCATTTTTGCATGCTCACATCATTAAACATTCCATTTCTGGGCTCAAGAAAGACATCCTTGGTCTCTGCTTTCAGAATATTGAGCAAAATCAGCTATTTCAGAAATTTCACAAAGGACAGAGAAAATATTATACATGTTCCACATTTCAACTTATTCAATAAAAACTTCAGCCATTTTCAATGCAACATTCTGATATCTTATTAAGAAAATGTATAGCATAGTAAAGCTAAGATCTCAATATTATAGGAGCAAGGTAGGCTATTTGGTTATTAAAAATGTTTTTCATAACTATATTCTCCCAGTACTATCTGCCTGGAGCTTTATAAAGGACATCTGTGTAGTTGCAAAATACTTTTTTTCATGAACACATGCTGCAACTTGCACTAGATAAATGTAAAGGCTTTTGTTGCTATTATGGAACTTCAGAACCTCGTTTAACATGCTCACCATGTCGTACTCGTTGTGTTTCATACAACTGAATGAGTTTTAGAAACCACGGTGGATGATGTATAAGCCCTGCTTTCTCTGTCTGTTTCTGAATGGCTGACTCCAATTCAGGATATCCAGCCTTATCAAGAGTAATACCAGGGAACAGGTCATTAATCAGACTCATAAATAAAGGTTCATCTTCATCCACCTGTCAAACAAAAATAAGGGGGAGGACCAATAAATCATTTTTTCATTAAAATTATTATTACTACAATTATAAACCATCTGCAAGAATATGTCTAAATTATGGTGGAAGAAAAACTGCATCTATTTTAAAATGAACGTGTAACAATAGAGTGAATTAATATTATTGTGTGAACTTCAGACAATATAAGTAGTAAATTTTAAATTAAATATTCATTTAAACGCTTACATACATTTACATTTTAGTAAAATTATTGTAAATCAAATCATATATAAATCTTTCTATTCATATAAGCAACTCAAAAAAATGGGCTAGATTTTCCCCTTAGATTTTAGGAGTTTTCTTGTTTTTCTCTTATTTTGTTGTGCATCTGTATTTTTCCTTTGTAAATCTTTAAGGTATAACAATGGGTTAAATATGTATATGAATACACTGAAGAGAAGAAAAATACCAGACTTTAAATGTAAAGTTGGTACCTTGTGGACTTTAGCAGAGGTTATAAACACCTTCCAGCTATGCTAAAATAAGAACACCAATAAATACTCTGAACAGAAGAAGGTACTCGTGAAAGAGGACAATGGAATAGTTTTAGCTATTTGAAAACCACTAACTCATTTTGACTTTTTATGGCCCTTCTGATTATTTTAAATTGCCAAGAATTATTGTAATTTGAAATTTGCGATTACAAAAGATCTAAAACAATGGATATAAAGTTAATAGAATGTGCTTATCTTTCAGTTGAACTTTCCATGCCGTAAGAAAATAGCGTTAGAGAGTTTAGCTAGATTTTCCTCTTGGATCTTACGGGATTTATTATTATTTGTTCACTTGAAATATTTTGTTTTAGCAAAGAGAAAAAATACAAACAGGTTCAAAGCACCAGTGCTCTTATGCCCTATACACTAAAAAACCATTAGGAACACTGCATAATAATGCATGTAACTGCCAAAGGAAATATACTTCATTTAAAATGATTGAGGGGTTATTTTGTTTGGTTTTTAATAAAAAGGAATGCTTTTAAATATTCTTTGAAAGTAACAAATGTTTTGGTACCAGTTTAGAGAGGTTCATGTCACGCAGAACTCTCATCACAACTGTTTTCTCTGGCTCATTGGGATTAGATCTTTTCACTGCTCCAAGTGTTCTTAAAACAGACAAAATATTTCGTAACCCAAAATCATAGTGAACCTGAAACCAAAGCATAAATACAATTAGTATTGTAAAAATTAAGCACTTCCAAATTTAGAAAAGGTTGAAAATCAAATGAATTAAAAAAAATAGCCTGTAAAGGAATTGTCACGGCTCTGCATCTTTTCGGTGAGACTCGAGATGTTCCTGATGTTACATTGTAAAAGCTATTTTCGCTGCTGTATTTACAGTCATAACAAACAATTATACTTAACTAACCTTGAAGTTGTAACATCATTTTGATTTTGCTTGCTGTTATCCTCTGTTTGTAATGCACTCTCTGGTTCCCCAGCATCTGTAGCTCACATGACACTAGAATACGGAAACCATCCCTGCTAAAAGACTTCCATAATAGGTAGGTTCTAACAAACTGATTTAGAAGCGAGTATTTTGACATTCCTTACTAAATTCTAAGTATACTGTGTCCACTGCATTCTCTTCATCCACCTAACTAGCTATTTGTCAAAAAAAAGATTAAGTTGTTATGGCACAATTTGTTGTTCTTAAATCCATTTTGAGTCTCTTGATCATCCTTTCCTCCTCCAAATGCTTACAAATTGACCTCTTTATAATGTTTGTCAGAATGTCCCTCTCACTATGATTAAATGAATCCTGTTTATGGCAAAAACTAATAGAAACTGTGCAAAACACGATTTGGACAAGTAGAAAATTCAATATGACATCATGCTGAGATTAACCCTGAAGGAAGAAGGCAGATCCATATCTAATATAATATTTCTGCAGACAGCTTTGTTGCTGACTCAGGAAATGGTACATGCACACAGTGTTTCTTAATAATATTTTCAAATTCCACAACAAAATTGTATTCACCTCAGAGAAGTCCTCTCACTCATTAACACTCTCTGGAGACCCACAGCTCTTTCCTTCCTGGGACTGAAAGCTGAATCTCTAGTAACCCAGTTATTCTAAGGGGCTTCTAGTAGTGAAAAGTGGACAGGTGGCACACTGATGAAACAGAATTATGAGCAATATAGAAATAAATGCATAGGAATGTATATTGGCTCAAAAAACAAGTCCAAAGAAAATGCAGATCCTCAGAGCAATATTACAGGAAAATCATCAGCTGAAGTGACTCTTCAGGAAACCATTCATTTGAGTTCCATACGAATGAAACTCAGACAGAAAAATAAATCAAAGTAAAAAAAAATAGTTAGTTCAGCCAAGCTACAAATAATAAGGGTAGAAGAGTTAATGCACAGAGAACATCAGAACAATCAACTTAGGTCAGATCAGAAGTCTTTCCATTTCTTGCCTCCCACACAGCCTCCATAGGGGGGTGCTGGTCATCAACCACCTCATCCTGTCCATACTCTGGTACCAGCTCAACACCCTGCCTGTGTCTCTGGGCACCCTGGTTAATCTCCAAAGATGGGCACTGAAGTTCTGGCAGCGATGACAACGGGTCTTGGCAGGTGGCTCTGCATGCAGGGAAGTCTGTACCTGCAGCCAAATCTGCAGTCTCTCCTCTGGTGTCTGCAATCATGCAAAATGGTGCATGAAAGGGCATGCTTTCCTCTACCACCTCCTAGGTTTTCAATAGTGGCTTCTGTATGGAGCCCTCAGCATGGGCATGTATCTGGCATATTCTACAGATTCCCAACACCGATGCCTTCTGCAGCCAAAGGGAGAACCTAGCACATGCATGTATGAAGTGTGCTAGGCTGCAGCCCCTCTTCACCTTCCTGAGGAACTTATTGATGCTCTGCTTACACTTTTCCCCACACCTTTTATTTTATGCACACCTCATCCATAGTTCTGCAAAACTCCAGGACCTTCTCCTCCCGGCTCTGCCCACACCAGCCACCTACCAGACCAGAAAGGAAAGTCTGGCTGGAGGGAACCTGGGTAACTGTAGGATGGTCTTCCTTTCCCTTGTCCATGCATGCCTCTAAGTAGAATTTCACTGGGTAGCATCCAGTGGGTCCTTAGATGCCTTTGAGGAACAATGGCCATTGGCTGGATTTCTCTATTCAGCATCCTCCCTTGGCACCCTGATTTTTTATCTTTCAACCTTTACTCCTGTTCCTGTTTTGTTATCTGTGATCCCAAGAAATTAGTTGTTGTGCACTAGGGAACCGTTCCGTTTCGACTTGCGTTTTGACGGAACAGCTTTTTGTTTCGAATTTCATTTCTATTCAAAACTGCTGTTCCGTTTCATTTCATCGGAACAGTTTTGCTGTTTTGACCCCATTTCGACATTTCACCTGTAGGCTATAATGGGGAAGCTTGAACCAGCCTATAACTTTGTCATCTCTGGCCTGATTTGGATGAAATTTGCAGGAACGGTAGCCCCTTCTTAGGGCATGAAGTCTGCCAAGTTTCAAGGAGATAGGTGCAGGGTTTCAGGGAAAATGCACCTCAAATTGTTGAAAGCAAAAAACTCATGTCACATGTGTGTGTTAAGCCACAGTAGGGTCAAAACTGAAGGGGTGGAAGCTCTTGCTGAGGCAACGAAGCCTGCCAAGTTTCAAGGAGACAGGTGCGGAGGCATGGGGGAAACTGCACCTCAAGCTGTGGACAAGCAAAACTCGTGACATGGGTGACACTGTGTGTGTTAAGGCGCAGCAGGGTGAAAGCTGCAGGCTTTCTAGCTCCTTGCGAGGGCCAGGCCACGAAGCCTGCCAGCTGTCAAGGAGTTAGGTGCAGGAGTTCTGGGTTTTGGGGCCCTGCACCTCTGGCTGCTGACAGGCAAAACTCATGACATGGGTGCTTGTGGCACTGTGTCTGCCTTGGGGTACATGGGGGTGAAAACTGCAGGCCTGCTAGCCCCTGCTGTGGCCATGAAGCCTGCCAGCTGTCAAGGAGATAGGTGCAGGGGGAGTCTGGGTTCTGGGGCCGAGCACCTCTAGCTGCTGACAGGCAAAACTTATGACATGGGTGGGTGACACTGTGTGTGTGTTAAGGTGTGCCCTCACTCAGCTGACACCAAGGCAGAAAGCAGGGCAGTTCAAACAATGCTGCCTTTTATGCAGTTTTTCCATCCCTCCCCCAGAGCACTGGGATTCCCCTGCCTCCCTGGTGCCCCTCACTCCCAAGCCACAGCCCCTCCAGCCCTGCTTGTGGCCCTCACTCCTGACCTGCCCCTTTCCCCCCAGCCCTGCCAGAGGGAGACCCCAGCTGCCCCTATTCCAACCGGGCCAGAGTCAACAGCTGCAACGGCTCTGACTTGTGTGGGCAGCAGTAGAGTGAGTCCGGCCCTGGTGCAGGCTAGAGAGAGGAGAAAGGGAGTCCTGTGGTACTCCCACCCTGGGCGGGGGCTCCCATGCTGCACCAAGCAGTCTTCCCTGGTCATGGCCCCTTGCCCAGCTCCCAGCACAGACACACGTGGTTCCCCCTGCCCCCGATCGCCCCAAACAGTTCATTGCAGGGCCAGTCTGCAAGGGGAAACCTGCAGTTTCCTCCTTTAAAGAGGAAAGTCCATGTTTTTCTGCAGCAAATGGAAAATCCAGATCCCTGGTAAACACACATACCACTAAGGCAAGCCAGGAAATGCAGTTCTGCCAGCATCAATGTTGAAAAAGTCTTAGCAGAGCAAAATCCCAAACATTTGTTCATATTTCAAAAAAACCCCAGGATGGAGATTGAAGGACCCAAAAAGAGGACACATATGGGAAAACCCGGACGTATGGTAACCCTAGAACAGAGAACATTAATGATGTTTTCAAAATACTTAGAGATACCCACAATAGGACATTCTCCATGGGTATGTCTACACTCTTGCTTACAGCCACTTTCAAAACAATATACACTGGCTATCTGTATTAAAAGGCCCAAAGTCAGCAATTGGTCAGCCTAGCGAAAGAAGTTCTGCTGAATGTCAGGGTCTGAGATCAGGATTGCTCCCAGCCCACACCTCTTCAGTGTGTTCAGAAGATATTAGGGCACTGCAAGCTGCAAACACAGGAAGTTTGTCGTCAGTAAGTTCACAACTTCCTGTTCCTGGCTTCTGTATCCCACTTTCTGTCTACATTGCCTACATTACAGCCAAGCACAAAAGGAATAAACCACAGGCAGTGGGTACACTGTTTGCTAAAAAGGCTCTGCTTGGGAACGAGTAAGCATAATGTGCAGTGGCCACAAGGTAAGCTATAAAAAGAGAAAAATGGTTCATGTGGCTTGGGTTAATTTGAGGGCCCTGCTACATGTTCAAGTGAAAGCTGGAGAGAAATCAGCCATAGAGTTACTACACATTTTCAAGCACTAACTTGGTTCTTTTTATAGCTGAATAGTCATTTTTATTGTGTGATAATTACTTTGAATGTGAGACTAGTCTAAATTTATTGCACAATTAACCAGTTAATTGCGTAATAACTACTTTGCATTTGTGGTCAGCCTTACTTATTTGCATGTGTGTCTAGTCTAAATGTATTGTCTAATAATCCTTGGGATCAACATTGAATAATGAATATATTCAAGCACAGTACTGGATTACTATGATGTAAACATTTATTTTACCTGTTTAGATAACTGCTCTTCACAAAGTTTGTAAAGGGTATAAAATTTTCGACTCAGGATTTGGTTGTCTCGGAAACCAGCACTCGCCAGTTTAACTCTCATGATAATACCACGATCCGGAACCATCATAGCTACTGTACGGAACTGGATCTTCAGATTTTCTGGAAGCTCCTGTCGGCCTGCATAGCCAGGGTTCTGAAACAAAGGGTAAAAATAATCAATTACTACTTAATCATGATGTAAGTGAAGAGTTTATGTGTTCTAGATGTTACCTGATATAAACAGGAAAGTGATTGCTGGATTATAATAATCTAACTATATGACAATCACAAGTGCTTACCTAATTTTGTCAAAATACTGCAGTTTGTGAAATATGTATTATCACAGCCCGTAGCCTGAGACCTGTCTCAGGGCACTAAAGTACCTGCTCCTTTAAGAGCAGAAACTGCCTAGGGATAGGGCCCTAGGAACCAGGCAGAAACCCCACAGGTGTAGGTTACTATGGCAGCAGGATAACAAGGGAATTAGCCTGCACCTGCACCCACACCTGGTCAGCTGACTGGAAGAAGGCAGGACCCTGGGCACATATAAACCCCAGGGCTGAGGCCAGCAGGGGTTAGTCCTCTGGCAGCAGACAGGGAAAGGAGTCTCCACAGAAGAATTGCCCAGAGATGCTATGGCTGCCTGATAAACTATCTATAGGACTAATGGGGCTCCAAGAGCTCACCAGGTACCCTGGGCTACAAAGCACTTAAGGCTTGGGGGGGGTTGACTCTTTTAAAGGGACAGAGTGCACCCTGAACTGGTTGTATTATGTTATAGCCCAGGGGCTCATATTTTGGTTGTTGTTTATAAACTGGTGGACCGGGCTGAGGCTATTGGGGAGGAGGAGGCCTCATTGGGGCCACACTACAGTGTGGAGACCCCAAAGCCAGAGGGCTCAGCGCCAGTGTGGGCACAGGGACAGGGCTGCAGAGAACCCAGCACCAGTGTGGGCACAGAGACAGGGCTGTGGAGAGCCCAACGATGAAGCAGAGGCTGAGTTATATCAAGGCCCCAGAGGGACAACGTTTACATACCATCTGCCAGGCTTGGGGCATGGTAAAAGGGGCAGTTTTAGAGCCAGGCATCTAGCCCATAAGGCTGAGGGTGTCCTGTGAGGCATCCATTTTGAGTGGGACCCAAAAAGGGGTCCAAAAACCCACAGGGTTCAGTGTGGTCCATCAGGACTGTGCCCAAACAAACTCAAGGGCAGCCTCCCTATTTGTTATAATTACCAGCAAGACGTGGCAGGTGAGGAAAAGGGTGCCTGTTGGGCAAGACTGGCATGGTCATGGAGCCCTAGGGGCATCACAGCCATCCCTGGGGACCCCCCACAGTGGCAAGACCCCCCAGAGATCAAGTTAACATGTTGCTTTCTCTAATAAAAGAAAGCTCCCCCAGTGGTGCTGGGGGAGTTTGCAGATAGGGGAAGGGCTTCTGGTGCAGGACTGATCCCCAGTAACATTCTATGAAAAGCAAACCTTTTAAAAATGAAAGATAAATGCATCAACCTTCACTTGTGATTTTGTAGCCTTCAATACAGCTGAGGAAGGTGAGGTACAAAAGTGTGCTGAAACTACCCTTAGGCTCTCCTGTTTCTGTTTCTACTATACTAGTTGAAGGAGTGAGAACACTGCTACCCTCTCCAGGATAAGTCCTTCAGTGGCCAGTTACACAGTGCTGAAGGCTGTTCTAGGCCTCAAAAAAGCCTGCTGTCTGTCCTTTACATTGACTGTTTAAAACATTTATCATGTGGGTCAAGTTTTTGTCTGCCAAGTCTTCAATATGCAATCTAAAGAGGCATAAAACAGGAGGCTGATGATGGAAATGCTTAGACTAGTAGGATAATAAAAGAAGTAAAAAGTATTTGTATACCTACATGCTGTCAGAAAAACCTTGATCACTTTACTCATACAATTAGTTCTACTGACTTCCATAGGGGTGTTTTTGTGGATAAAGGAAACAGAATTCTGTCCTGTTATGCAATAATTCACAGGTATGCACACACACACACACACACACACACACACACACATACCATAGTCAAGAATATGCCAAACTCTCTGTCCATATCAACAACATCACCGTCAGTGAAGATGAACTGAGGCTTCTTATTTTTTTTACACTGAAGTACAATATAGATTTGCTGAGCAGCCACTGACAGAACTGGAAGCTCTATCCGATTAAATTCATCAAAGCAACCCCATGCACCTGACTGGGCTAAACCTATAAGTGAAGTGGGTGGAAAACAAAAGTATTTTGTTAGTATAGTATATTAACCTACATATAAAGTACAGTACACTTTGGTATATAATATAGAATAAGAAAAACTAAGAGCAAATGATAGAGTATAAGGAGAAGAAAAAAACTCACAGTAAATCAGCATGCATATTAAAGATACTCAAGAAAATCACTATGCTGTATGACATTATATATATACACACACATGCTTTCATAGAGACTTTTATGCTTTCACAGCTACCATTATCAAAGGCAGAAAGCCTTAGAACATTTACAACCCAATGTAACTATAATATCTAAAATATAATCTTTATAAGAATTAGATATAACACTCCGCAATGCCCCAGCAATGTACAGACTGAAGGAGCCAGAGTATATGAAGATATTTTGAGGTGGTCTCAATTAGACACACAGTACAAGACTACATACAGAAATCACTGCACTCCTAATAGCCCTACAGCTTTACTCAAGATTTTATAGCAAAAATACCCATATCAATAACGAACAGAAAGCAGCACTCTGCTCCTGAAGAGCAAAAAATCTATCTAAAGACACACTGGGTACATCTATACAAGATGCATTAATGTGCATTAGCCTAAGTTAATGAGCATTACAGGCACACATCTACATGTGTGCACCCTTAGTGCGCATTAACTTAGGCTAATCACACCTAAATTTGTTACCTACAAATGCCGGTATCAAATTTAGGTGTGATTTAGTTAAAGCGCATTAACACACATGTAGATGTGACCTGGCACTAATGTTAGTGCAGGGTCTGCCCTTCCACTAGGGGGCCAGCTAGAGCCCGGCCCTAGGGAACTTCGGGAGTTGGGGCACTGGGCACCTGCCTTGGGGCCCTGCCCCTAGGCCCCCCCCCCACCAAGGTCCCCCACTCTGGGCCTGAAGACCCAAAATATTGTAAGTAGTTTTTCCCTTGAACATAGATTTCCATTTGTATATAGTTTCCCACTTGTAAGCAGGTTTATTATTGGTGGGTGAGGAGGGTGGTGAAGGGGTTGATTGAGGAGAGGGAGGGATGGGAGTGGGTGTTGTAGGAGTAATAAACTTTTTTTGTTTTACCCATGTGCATATCCTGAGAGTGGTGCCAGGGGTGGGAAGAGGGTAGGGGGTGAACCACAAAGCAGGCGGACTGAAGTGGGGACTACAGGAGGAGGGGGTTGGCCAGGGCCTCCTGCAAGTGGTGCTCTGGCCCCTGCTGGTGGGTCTGTCTCTCTGCTGGGGTCTAAGCAGGGGGAGGGGGAAGCTGCTGGGGCCAGCACCACGGCCAACAGGAGTGCAGGACACTGGTTGTCGCTAGCAGGGTCCAGGCTGGAAGAGCAGAGCTCTGGCTGTTGCTGGCAGCCCTGGTGTGAAGAGGCAGGGTGGACCAAGAGGGAGCTGCTGCATGCTGCCCCTGCGCTGGGCACTCAGATCCTGGACAAAGAAAGGGCTGGCCAGGGATGTTTCCAAGATGGCTGCCAGCTGGCTCTGGCTTCAGCATGGCTGCCAAGTGCTGGGAGCTATGTGGCCAGAGGGTGGCGCTCCCCCCAGTGGCCACAGGGGCACAAGGCAGGGCCACAGGCACTAACTTTAGTGCCAAGTGCACTGGATTTATTGCCATGTCTCTGCATGTGTAGACACTGGCCAAAAATCACATAATGCACATTAAATTTAGTTGCGTTTAAATGTATGCAGACATGCCCACTGTTTTAAATGGATTGAAGTTGTAGCCAGACATTTATGGAGCAGTGGACAAACTGGTCTGAGATGAGATGAGAAGAACAAAGACAACACCTGTAGGCAAGAATAAAGTTGTGGAATGCTATAAAAACAAATTAGATCTAATCACAAAAGAGAAGCCAGTATAGGGATTTAACATGGTGTCCAGAGAAAGCAGAGGGGAAGGAGAGGAAGATAGTTTTGATGCTATCCTTTTGGATAGGTGATGAAAGAAAGAGATAAGATACAGAGAGGCCAGAGGACAGGAATTTATGAACACTGAAGAGAAGAAATTTTGCTGCATGTTCTTTAGTGTAATTCTGTCACTTTCTTCATAAGGAAAGCTCCATTTAAGAAATGCTTCTTAAAACAGTTTTAAGAAGAAAAGAGCACATATTATACCATGATTCTGCAACTACAATATGGAGGCAATAGTATCCAGTCTCTGCCACAGAACTGTCCTCCAGGGAAATCTCTCTCACCCTTGTTATGAAGAAAACTTTACAAGTGTGAACAAAACATAAATTAGTATAGGGTTGTAGTATAGGGTTAGAGTGGCGCTGTAGCTGTGATGGTCCAGGAATTACGTAAAGCAAGAATTTCTTTGGGTGATATCTTTTATTGGATAGTTGGGATAAAGTTAGACAAGCTTTTAAATACAAGATATTCTTCAGGGCTGTTGACACCAAATACTGACAGAAATGTTATGTATGCTGTATATTATGTATTAATTAAGTCTATTAATAATATTTAATGGCATGTGTAATCTGATGGATTTTATACATGGCTACAGTGTAAGAAAGCCTTAATAAAACTCTCCCAGAAGCCTCTGCTGCAGTTTGTAATGAAGGTACCAATTAATGGCATGTTAATGAACACTGGAATCCTAGTTAGCATAAATATGTTATGTAAGGCAGGCAAGAGAGGAATCCAGCTTATTGGCTATTCCCTCATCTCTTTGACTGCTGTTGTTGATGTCTCCAGGATCCCCCTCACTTCTTTGCCTTTCACTGCCTGCTCTCCCTCAGGGAGTGGGGCAGGGCAGGGCAGGAGGATGTGGCTCAGCACGGACTACATTTCTGGGAGACCCTGCAGCATGATGCAGCAGTATAGAGTGGGAGGGAAGTGGTGGGGGGCAGTTTGCCCACCTGCCTACAGGGTACAACAGTGGTGAGTCTGCCTGCCCAATTGCATGCATGGTGCTATGGTGCTGAGGGAGCTTGCAGATGGCAAAAGGTGGGGAGGGGTGCAGGGCTGTGATCCCCAGTGATGCAACCCCTGCAAGCTGCAGCCCCTAGCTGCTAAGAAGTTGGACAGCCCTTCAGATCTCCAAAGCAAAGTTCTATTGTCAAACTACCATTTTGGGAACACACTGAAAATCAGACATCAGGTCTAGCATCTCTGAAGTCTGTGATCTGAAAAGAAAAGTAAAGGAGAAAGCTAGAAATGTGTTTCTATATCTTGCTTTCTTTTGAGCTGAATTATTAAGGCTATGCTAAATAAAGTTCACCTGATTTTCTAAATAGTCTTTTAGTTTTTTCATAAATTAATTAGCAACAGGTGTATTTAAAATGGTACCAACTGGTTAATTGGCCAATAATCAGTTTCCCTCCTAGGTAACAGGGTTGTCTTCCGGCTGTCTTCAGGGTTCTACAATCTGAAATGATATCTAAAAATTATGAGCATTCCTAATCATCTTGATTTCTCATTAAGACATCATTCTGGGAGGAATCTATATTCAAGAAGGGTGCTTAAGCATGTGCTCAATTTTAAATGCGTGCCTGAGTGCTTTGCTAAAGATAACTTCATTGATGATACATGATAAAATATTCAGAAACTGTTACACTGAACATATTGTTCATTTTCATATTTAATTTTAAATTGAAATAAAGCTTCTGAAGAATTTCTCATCTGCTGGACCAAAGCACTAAAGAATCCAAGGACCTGCTATGGATCTGAGGTCTAAATTGCCACAGATTACACAATGTCTTGAAGACACCTCTCTCATACATGTTAGCCAAATCTATGAGAAATGAAAGTATCACCTTTGCAGGATTAAGAACCTATTTTAATTATATAACTGAAATTTTAAAATAATGTAAAGGAAATAAGTATTAAAGGTTTCATAACCAGTTATGGCTAAGCAGGTTTGTTTGTACCTAGGCACTTCTAAACCTGAAGACATTTTGTCTGCTTGCAGACATGGAACACGCCCCACCCCCCAAAAAACCCCAAACAAACAGTGATTTAAACTCAGCGTGCTCCTGCACCAAGCCCAGCATGTGCCCAGAAGAAGCAATGTGTTAGTTGCACCCATCTTTCCCCAACGTCTGTAGAAATCAGGTGCTTTACTGGGGGGGGGTTGGCGCTTTTAACTAATAGCTGATTGATTCAGCTTTATCTAAAAGCACCAAAAAGCCCTGCTGAAGCGCCTAATCTATACAGATGCTGTGGAGCTGGGTCAAAGTAACAAGCTATTGCTAACAAGCATGCCCTCCTCCCCACCTCCCTCTAGTCCCCCATGTGTGTCAGCATCCTTAGACCTTTTCCTACAACAGATATTAGTGGCTCTGTAATGTAATGTTGAAATCTCCAACATTATTCAGCATGAGGTGTTTTTTAAAGATTCTCCTAGGTGCTGTTCCCACAAATTCTCAAAGAAGCAGAAACTACCCAGGTCTTTATTCATACATATTTACACACAGGAGTTAGACATCTCCAGGAATATCCCTTACTGCCACTCCCATGATTTCTACCTCCATTGTGCTTAAAAGTGGTGCCAGGGCAGCTTCACTGCTTCATGTCAGGTCTAGTGCATGTGGAACAGGAGCAGGTAGGTGGAACATGCTTGTGGCCAGGGGTCCCAGGAGCACCAGGGAAGCAGTGAAGACAAGCCAAATGTCTCTTTCTCCATTGCGTGAACATAAGGCACAAATCATTCTTATATTTTTTCTGGTCACTTCATGGATTCTTACAAGTAAATACAATAGATAGACCTTTACAGAGTAATAGGATTACATTTGAAAAAATATGCACAGCAACAGAGATTGTGGAATCGATTTTCAGAAAATAAACTACTCTCTCTCTCTTCTCTGACCTTTAGTTTTCAATTAATGTACATACAAAAGCTACAGTGCTAAGAGTTCCTGACTGAAGACACAATCTAACCATGATTATGCATCAGAGTGTAGGCAGCTGAAATTGGAGTGAAGAATGTAATCAATTGGAGAGAACGGTGGTATTGGAGGGTTGGTAGCATCACATAT